GTTACCAAGTGGGCTCTCCCGAGTCCCGAGTCCCGAGCCCCCGCGGTTATAATTCGGATGGTGGCTTCATTCGCGCGATAGATGAGATCATTGACTACCTCACCGGAAGGATGAGAGCATCGAATCGACTTATCTCTTTTGTGCAAGGCGGCCGTAAATCGTGTCGACTCGGCAACAGTTAATTACGAGCGATATGTTGGTTTATGACCCCAGAGTGGGAGCTTCTGTACGTTTGCATGTTCCTTCCGAGTGAGTTTTACTTACAGTACTTTCCCTTGCTCGTTCTAGTGACAGCTCATAAGACAATATAGGGGGTAATTTATGTCGGTAGTGATGCCAGCTCTGATGGTTGGACATGATATATGATGGCACGCGGCCGCCCGTCGCTAAAAGCAAAGGAGGTGAGGGCGAAAGTGCTGACCCCGGGACGTAAAGACTCGAGATGCAAAGGGACCTGTGAGCACTGAGCACGAATCAAACGAGGCGACGACAGAAAGGGTGTTTACATTCTAAGTACTCGAGGTATCGACGTGAGTGTCAGCCGATCACAATAGATCATTCTCGTTTGAGGACATTCTATATCGACCAAGGGTAATGATGCTAATGAAGCTGGTGATGTGGGACGACTCAGCTAGAACTATTTCGGTATCCCTCACCTTTTGTAGGGGCATCCTGAGTAAGCACCCGGGATCCCAAGTCGTCGAGTAAGAGTAATGCGCTCAGCAGCGGGTCCAGTGGCATTCAAGGTCCTCTATCGAGATATGATGGTGTGTAGGCGACGGTAGAGCACTACATAGGAGGCAAGGACTCGGAGTAAGGACCTGTTCCTGACAGTGGCGGCGAGCATTCTCAAATCTCCACAGCCATACGGGCCGGAGAACCCGGCTGGAATTCACGTAACGTGGTTTACGAAGGCGGTGCTGCGGCTCTCTGCTTCCTTTCTCACCCCCAAGAGCTTCCGACCTTCCGGTTCTTGTTTCCTACTCCGTCAGCAAGGTTAGACATAAACCAGTCATCCCTCTTATCCAACCCGCTTGGCCTCTCACGAGCCCCGAAGAAACAATACACACCCAGGTCGGTTGCTGTTCAATGGCAGTGGTTTACGGAGCCGTTCTCCGAGCTTCGTCACCCGTGTGTGTCGTTTTCTGTCGAGACCAAGTCAAAAGCGTCTGCGTTCTACGTCGAGTGAGGGAGGGCGGGTTCCTCATACTCCTAGTATCGGTCACTGGGTGGCGTTTCCGATCCTAAAATATACATCAATTGACCACTCGGGGCCTGGCTCGAGGTGGAACTCGTGAATTGAGAGATAACTATCTAGTGACCCTCGCGCCTCAAACTCAGTCAACCTCTGCTTTAACAGTCTCGGACTTTCAAATTCTGTAATGTCTTCGATCGATGGGTCAGATGTTGTGGATTTCAAGACATGTTTACACCTCATTCCCGAACTCGTTGTCCAAGTCGTCGTCGTCCGCGATCGACCGGTGCAAGCTTCCGCAAGGGAGTCTCGCCTCGTCGCGGTATGTAGACAGCACTAATTCATTGGTCGGAATTCCAATATCTGAAAATTAGAATTGAACCATATCACGTAGGACCGATTACCCGTCAAACGTTTTTACTGCCGTCCAACCGCTTACCGCTTACCGTTCCGCGTTTTGCTCATATCTCCCGCGCCCCCGAGTCTAACTGCCGCTCATGGATTACTATTAGAGCTGGAGTCCGTGTCTTCGCCGATCTCTCTCCCCTCTCCCTCTCCTCTTCCCCTCCCTCCCTCCTTTATCGACGATGACTTCTACGACAGACGCTTTGCAAGGCAACTCGACGGGAAGCACGATCACTGCCCCGATCGTCGTTGCCACTTCTCTTCTCGATGTTGTCTGGACACCAGTTATCGTAGTAGCCGTGAGTTAATCGAACACCTTCGAATGTCGCCGCCTTCTAAATTAACTCACACAGATTCCGTATCTTCTATACGGTACGAATACTCTTCTTCTCCTCCACGCCGACTTTCCCCGTTTGACTGGTGAAACGATATAGGTCTCTACTCCGTCCAACTAGCCACATCCCTCCTCGGTTCCAAGAAACGAAAGACGGTAACGAGAGCAGCGCATCGAGCTCCTCTCGGAGTGATGTACCTGCTGGTGACGATAGGGCTTGCGTGCATCGGGTTTCTGTCGTATTTGAATATCAATACGTATGTCGCTGATGTTCAAATGCGGAATGAGGGTGAAGCTGGGTTCGAGGGGATGGAGGCCGATGAATACATTAGGAGGTGAGTTGATCTTTGGGTCTCAAGAAAAGTGATATTAATCTTCGTTTCTCGTTGAAGGATATCGCTGGAACGGGTCATTCAGAGTGTGATGGTTCTTGCAAAGTAAGTATCTAAATCGTCCAATCTGTTCTACTGTCTGACTTTCAACGAACAGTTGCTTGAATAACGGAATTCTGGTACGTTTTTCTTTCTTTTCTCGCACATTTCCCCACTCAACTGACTGTCCTCGTTTCTCAGTTCTGGCGACTCCGAACAATTTGGGACACCCAAACACGATCGAAAGAGGCGCTACTCTTGATCCCCATATTTCTCTCCGTAGCTAATACCAGTACGTCCTCCTTCCCCCTCCGCCTTACCCTCTTACCCCATCGCTAATCACCTCCTTCTCCCACCTAGTATTCGGCATCCTGACCCTCTCCCCCTTCTCCCCACTCTTCGTCCCCTCCACACCCACACCCGCCCAAGCAAGCGTTAACTTTTACAACTACATCCCCTCACTGAACATCGACCTATCGAGGTCGATACCCGCAATGAGCGTCAGTATGAGATCGAGTTTGATGAGGATATATGATGTTTCGAGTGTGTTGGCGAGTGCCGTGGGCGGGTTTATGATAGGTGAGTTTTTGGGTTTTGAGTCGGTCACTGAGCGGGATGGCTGATAAGACGCGGAATGCGTGTGTAGCTGGGAGATTGTTTTACGTGTCATGTCGGAAGACGAGGACTATGTACGTTGCGATTGCGCTTGCCCTATCTTCCTGAGCCGAGGAACTGACAACCTGCACCCTACACCCCAGCTTCCTCGACTCGGGTCTCCTCTACCCAACCACCTTGTCAGCGTACATATTCCTCCAACTTCTGCAGTCCCTCGCGCAAGCTCGGGCTTGGGACGAGCGCAGTACGGGTGTCATCGGAGAGCGGGAGAGGTTGAGGAGGAAACTCTTGATATGTGCGGAGGTGGTGTATCATTCGTTGTTGCCGGTTTTGGTGAGTTTTGAGTCTTCCCCTCTCCTTTTTTTGTTTTGAGTTGCGGCTGATACTGTGCTCGGTAGGGAATCACTACGACTATGGTTATTACACGGTTACGGGCGACGACACGTTCCGTCCCCCCCAGTCCTAGTACCACCGTCGACCCGGAGAACGCTCCCGCCAAACAACTCTCACCTGAACCCGGACCCGGACCGTCGCCTTTGTCTCAGGAGCTGCGTCTGGAGGAGGAAGAAGAGGAGATGCAAGCAGCTACTTTGAGCGTTCCCTCCCCTCGACATGCTGCTAATGAAGTGTAGTTTGTAACTTGTACCTTGAAGCTTGAAACCGAACGATTATATGTATGTATATTTTAGCTATAGTAGATCACGCGCACGCACCGTTAAACCCTTGTATTTACCTGTCCTTCCTTTCGATCTTTGTATTTTGATCATGGCTGCCTGTACTATGTAGTTTGGTGCGAAATCTGAACACGGTTTACTCCTTCCAGTTCGGTTCGATACGGTTTCGCGAGAGGAAATCGTTATGCATCTATTAGAGTGCATGAGGCCATTTGATGGTATATGACAACATCCCTCTTAGCTCAGTGGTAGAGCGCTTCACTAGTATTGTTTCGAGTTCTCTTATGTAAATGACGCTATGAAGAGGTCAGTCGTTCAAGTCGGCTAGAGGGAATAGAGGTGAAGCCTCGTATATTTTTGTCGCCTCTTCTGCGAGAACCAACCAGTTGGACGGACTCAACCCCCCCTCCCACTCAAGAACTCAACTTCGGCTAGAGGAAACCATGTATACGAGCAACTCACTACACTTCTATAAATCCCTCTTAGCTCAGTGGTAGAGCGCTTCACTAGTATGTTCAAGCCACCAAATACAATGAAGAGGTCAGTCGTTCAAGTCGGCTAGAGGGAATCAAGAAAAATTTTTACATGTTCGCTTTTTTTTTTTGGACAGGAAAAGTCGGAGGGCTATGATCTAGCACAACAAACCAGAATGCAGAAAAAAAAAAACTCCCTATGTCTATTCCGTTCCGCAAGAGATGTATAAGAGACAATAACGATAAAGAAAACTCTATTTCCACGTCTACGCAGCGAAATCCTCATCAGAATTGATCTCGTATCCCCACGACGTCCATATTATGGGAGCCTGCAAATCATCTACACCGTCATCCTTCGCACCGACGACACCTCGGACTTGGAAAGCTGCTTTGCGCTATAAAAACCGACAAAACGGCGTAAGCACAACCACCCAAACACTCAAGAAAAAAAGAAAAGGAACTCACCATCCCCAAAGTAACCTTAATCGCCGGAGGCCCAGAATGATAATCCTCCAACTCCTCCCACGCACCTTCCTTCCCTTCCTCCTCCAACGCAGCATTGTTGATCAACCTAACAATATTCCTCCCAGCAACCTCCCCTTGCCAATACGCCGTATGTCCAGCTTTGATCGCACCAAACGCATCAGCCGAATCGCCTACACAGAACATATGTGGATACGGTGTCCACTCCCTCTCCTCCTTCGTCTCCTCCACGACGAGTTCTTCTTCTTCCTCATCCGATTCAGAAGAAGACAGCGAAGGCGACCTCTCTCCCCTCTTCTCCCTCTCCAACGCCTCCTCCTCCGCCAACGAAATCTTCTCCAACGCAGCCTTCAACTGTTCCTCCGGACTCTGCACAGGCGCCGTAACCTCAGCCTCGGGCGTGTCCAACCCCGCGACCGCAACTTTTTCCGTCTCCACCGGTAACTCGGGTTCAGCCGGGGTAGCGACGTGCGGTGAGGTGATTTTGGAAGGGGTCAAGACGCCGAGTTGCATCGTCCGAAGGACGTGTGCGAGGTTGTTGGCTGGGTTGATTGTGTTGGGGTCCATGGATTTGAGGAAGGATGTGTTGGGGTTTTGACCGGTGCAGAGCATCTATAGAAGACCGGGAGTTTGTTGAGAAGGGGGGTTGGGGGGGAGGGCGAAGGCTGTGTGATTATGGTACGTACCACGAGATCCGCAGCGATTTCTCTGCCTTTGACGGTTCGAACGACTCGTTGACCTCGCTCGTTGAGTTTGGCGTTGGCGTCGTTGGCGGAGGTGAGGTCTAGACGTTCTCCGAGGATGACGTTGACGTTGAGGGATTCGAGGCCTTTGAGGACTGAGGGCGAGAAACGTCACGTCAGTTTTTCCGCGAGGACAAAAAGAAGAGTGGAGCCCACCTTCGAGATGGAGCTCTTCGTCGTACGCGGGCATCAGTCGATGACGGGAGTGCAACAACGTGACGGATTTGGTTGGGTAGAGGTCTGCGATGTCGGTGGCAAACTCTGTAATGAATTGTTTATTAGAATCGCGCAGCACAGAAGACAACACCAACTCACGAATGCCCAGGGCACCACCACCAACGACGAGAACGCTAGGAGCTTCTTCCACGACTTTCTGGTTATGCTTCAACCACGCGACACTGTCCTTCTTCGTTCCGTTGTATGATGGGTTCGGGATCTTCATGACACCCAACGAAGGGAGCGGACCCCAGAGGTTGAGAGGATCGGGAAGCTGGGATCCGAGTGCGTAGACGCAGTAGTCAAAGTCGAGTCGAGTTGTTGGGAGGCCATGTTCTGGGAAGGCTTTGGACAGGATGGCGTGGTTGGGGTGAACTGAGACAACGGAGGCGTGTAAAAGAACGTGAGGTGACTCTTTGATAGTATTGTTTTTCCAGAAGACTCGGGTGTATGGGACGACTGTGAGGCAAAGTTAGGACACGCGGTTGTGGAGTGGCTTGTCGACTCACAGGCTTTGTTTTCGTGCCCAGGGAGAACTGCAAGCCTAGGCATTACATAGACGTCTGAATTCGAGTTGAGTTTGGCGAAATCGAAGGGTAGATTAGATTGAATCTTGACATACGATTGAAGTGTCTGTTAAAACAGAAATCAGCTCGCGTGCCAGACTAAACCAAGTGATTATTTGAACGCACGTATTCCGATCCACAAGAACAACTCTCCATCCTTCAGGCAGACCAGCAGCTAGTATCTGAGCCGCACGGTTTCCTATATCGCCCGTTCCCGTCTCAGTCGATGAAGAACGACAACAACAACAAATCTCCACGGACCTCCATAAGCAGCACCCAACACTGCAACAGTTTTCATTGACGTTCCAGTTGATTCCGAGACCATTATATCGCAAGGAAAGAGCGATGAGACTAAGAGTACGAAGAGGAAAAAGGACACCCGGGAAAGAGAGAGACACAAAGAAACCGGGGTTTGGGTCGTGGTAAGTGGTCAAGCGGGGGTGACTGCTGATTGATTCAGAAACGCCAACCCTCCACTTTTTATCTGATAAAATCCCACACCATCAGAGATCAGCCCACAATGGAGTGAGTCGCGGGCTCCGATCCGATTATTTCCGATTACGGTAATTCCGGCGAACAACCCTGGAGCGATTCCCGGCCTGGCGATTTCCGTTACCCGTAAGTTCATCTTAGTGTTCTCACTGTCACCACCAAGTTCCCGTCGGTGGGAGATTCGATTATCGATGGTGAGAGTTTTGAATACTTGTACGGTAACCCTCTGACGAAGCGAAGCGAAACGGATTAGCATTCCTCAGCTCATTATTATTCAAGCAGTTGATGATACCATTTGCATCATACGTTGACTCATCGCGTACCGTACCTGGCGCTTCCAGATAAGATCGTGCTTATCGGATCATATCTCATATCATATCAACAAAGATAACTCAACAGCCCTGAGATTGGACCCTACTCTGGGCGAGCTTGGTTCTGCGGATGTCTATGGATCCTGGTTGGGATGTTGGTGAGTAGGTCCAGAGGGTACCCCAGTAAGTGTAACGTTTGAAATCTAGAACTTAATCACCTCGGAGGCGGAGCGGACCCAGTCTAGTCTATCAACGGTAAAATGTCAGAAATGTCCTTGCCCAGTGCAATGCAATAGCGGCGAACGGAGGCACGGAGTCTCTATATTGCCCGCACTCCCAGACGAATATCTACCGTGTTGCCAGGACTATGGCGATGCGCAGTACGCACTGCGCGCAAGAGCGGATGTTATAACGGTGATGGCCTCAAAGCTATGTCGGCGGGCGCGGTTTAACTTAACGCGTCGCTGTCCGACGATTTATTTTTGAAGACGTCGGAAACATAGGTATCCCAGCAAGTCATCGCCTAGTTTACTACACAATCGAAGTAGAATGGTAAGTACATATTCTCTGGTTGACGTCCTGCATGCACGTAGTAGTACAAATGTTAGATCAGTAGTATGGTATGGTATGATAATTTAGACTAGCACCGGTTCTTCATTCTCACCGGAACCCGAAAAAACATCATATTCAAGGAACGATCACGAGGGTGGGTCTTGAACAAACTCAAACTTTTAGAGTGTGTCTTCGTTCCACGCCGAGACGAAAAACAAGGTTCCAGGCTTTCGTCAGATGTCTACATAGTCCAGGTGGTGACATCGTCGGGTGAAAGGAAACCTGGATTCCTTGAAGTAATGCGGTATGCCGAGCCAAAAAAGCTGTTGAGAGAGGCAGGCATAACGGTTTCCGAATCCGAGTCCCGCAGCAGTCCATCCCTAGCCCATCTTGACGACATGTAACTTGGCCGCAGTTGATCAAAGCCTAACTTACGCTCTTTGCGCTACGCCGTGAGAGTGTTTGTCCTATAGCCAGTGCAGACGACGTCTATATACTCGCAACTTTAAAGTTTACGAGCGATGCGAAGGAATCTTCGATGTTAACACGGTATATCCAGAATACTTTCGGACGACCGGCAGGCAGAAATCTTGTAGTGTTTTGACGAGGTTGAACTATGTATAGCAGAGTTTCATCAAGATTCGTTGCTGTGGGCTGCGCAGAGCCGCGATCGTTGTGGAGAGGAGAAAAGGTGCTTGACCCTAACCTCAGCGGCAAACGCTCAAAGAAAGACCGCGGCGGCCCGGATCACCACTTCAACTTGAACCTCTGAAATCAACGACCGCAATCAATTCCTGGACCTCTGACACGAGCTCGTCCTGGTCTTTGTCGGGCTCGGACTCTTAGCAGTTATTATTGGGCACAATAAGTTCAATAACAACGCGTCGATTCTCGAGGTCGGAGAGCATACGCGTTCTTGAGAAGTTTACAACTACCGGAATACCACGAATGTCAATCCAAGATCCTCCTCAAGAATCGGAACATGAAAACTTTCGCTCTTGCATCGCTCCTGTTTTTCAACAACGACCCAAGTTGGATGGACATGGACGTCGGCTGCTGTCAACCCACCACGACGAGAAGGTGCTGGGATAGATCTTAGAAGGAAATGAGAAAAAAACTCCTTGGCCTTCGTGATTGGAATTCGAGGACGCCAGAGTTAAAATGTTGTTTTCGTTATGGCGATCCCTAACATAATCGTGTTTTGTAGACGATGCGATCCAGGGTCCGTCTATGGCTATGACTACTAACGGCTTCTTCTACGCTTCCAGGTACATCTTACTCCCCTTGGGCGCTTGGGAAACACCGGCTCATACGAGTACTCAAGAGCTTCCGGGGAAACAGGATCAGGCTAGCGAACGAACAAGATCATCTTATCATCCCTCCGATGAAATCTCATTTCCCGCATATACCATCCGGCGCCTCACATCCCACCAAACGAACCCTCCACAGCAGCGGCAGGACCATAACCTTCACTCTGACGGTAGCCCAACTTCCCCAAATGGGGATTGTATGCTTTTTTCCTCTCACTTCCCATTTATACTTAGCTGTGCCTGTCGTACTACATCCCCCCCTGCTGAGCCCTCACGCCTTTGTTATGGGACGGAATCCTACGGCTCATCTATCCATGAAAAACCATATATAAGGGTTCTATCACTGCAGACACAGAGATGATCGAGACTGTATGGACACAAGGACGTTCCCCGATCGTGGCTCTCGTAGTTGCCGCCCCCCA